ATCCATTATCAGCTTCTAAAACACCTCCCTGACACAGGCTTGGAAACACTCCTCAATATATTTGATGACATCTGGACATCCGGACACTTTCCCCCTTCGTGGCACAATGCCATTATCATCCCTATACCAAAACCCGGTCGCGATCATACTGATCCCTCAAAATACCGTCCTATATCACTAACTAGCTGCTTTTGCAAAACCATGGAGCGCATGGTCAACAATCGATTAATCTGGTACTTGGAGACCAATAACCTCCTCAGTGACCTCCAATGTGGTTTCCGAAAATACCGAAGTACCATTGACCATCTGGTGCGTCTCGAATCATTCATCAAAAACTCCATTGTCAACAAACAACATGCAGTATCTATCTTTTTCGATTTAGAAAAAGCATCTGATACAACGTGGAAACATGGTATCCTAACAGATTTACACGAGTTTGGATTGAGGGTTAGACTACCTCAATTCATATCTCAGTTTTTAAATAACAGACAATTTCAAGTTCGGGTGGGTTCCACACTGTCTAACTATTTCCAACAAGATCAGGGCGTCCCCCAAGGCAGCATCCTGTCTGTCACACTTTTTAGCATCAAAATTAACAGCCTCACTAACGTTCTGAACAGTTGCGTTGATGGGTCCCTTTTCGTGGATGACTTCAATATTTCATGTCGTGGTAAGAACATGCACGCAATAGAAAGGCAGCTACAACTCTGCCTTAACAAAATCCAAAAATGGGCCAATGAAAATGGTTTTAAATTTTCAAAATCTAAAAAATATTGTATTCACTTTTGTCGTAAATACAAACCACACAAGGATCCAGACCTAACTTTAGATGGTACTCCCATCAAGGTAGTAGAAGAGGCCAAATTCCTTGGACTCATATTCAACCGCCACCTGACATTCTTACCACACATAAAATATTTGAAAACAAAGTGCTTGAAGGCTCTAGACTTGCTAAAAGTAGTCTCAAATACAGAGTGGGGAGGGGATCAGACCACCCTCCTTCACTTGTACAGATCATTAGTTCGCAGTAAACTAGATTATGGCTCCATTGTCTACGGTGGAGCCTGCAAAAGCAATTTAGAAAAATTAGACTCTATCCACCACAAAGGGCTGAGGCTCTGCCTGGGAGCTTTTAGGACCTCTCCGGTAGACAGTCTATATGCGGAGGCCAATGAACCTTCCCTTGAACAACGCCGCATTAAACTCTCACTGCAGTTTATCACTAAATTACGTTCAAATGAGTCCAATCCAGCATACAATTGTGTTTTCAACCTGCTCTATGCAAACTTATTTCCTAAACTGCCAAGCCTGGTTCCACCACTTGGAATCAGGATCAAACCACACATATCTGCAGCTAAAATTGATCTCAACATCATTGCACCATACCGACTCCTGTCCTCACCACCATGGCAAATGGTGAAACCACAGGTCGATCTTACCCTCACCAAACTCAAAAAGTCTGAAACAAATCCCTTGGTGTTCCAACAGGAATACAACCAGTTACGTTCGAAGTATAACACTCACAGATCCATTTTCACAGACGGATCCAAGGACGATGGCCAAGTTGCCAGCGCTACAGTCATTGGAGCCAAGACTGTCTCCTCTAGGATCCCCGACAACAGTTCCATTTTCACCGCTGAAGCCAAAGCTATCTTCTCAGCTTTGACCTACATTCAACAGAAAAATCAGTCCAAGAACTTCATCGTATTTACACTTCTAAACGTGACTTCAAGTCACCCAATCATCCTGGACATATTAGAACTGTACAACGACCTTTCTACTGGCCAATATGACATCATCCTCTGCTGGTTGCCGGGTCACGTCGGCATAGCAGGTAACACTAAGGCCGATGCTGCAGCAAAGCAGCTCTTGAAAAGCCCCTATCTCCACTGCTAATCCCGTACAGTGATTTCAAACCAACTATCAAAAGCTATACTCGGGACTTGATGCAAAAAAGGTGGGACACTCAAGTAGGAAGAAACAAACTCCATGAATTGAAGCCAACAATCGGTTATACCTACTTGGGTTGCCAGTCAAGACGTGATGAAGCAATTTTACGACGATGTCGTATTGGCCACAGTCGGTTTACACATGACTATCTGCTAAAAACGGATGGGGATGGACCCCCCATATGTCTCTCCTGCGATGATGCTTTCACCGTCGAGCATATTCTGCTTGACTGTGTGGATTTTACATCTGCAAGGGAATCGCATTATCCCGCAACCAATCTGAAAGATCTGTTCTCCAGCGTGAGCGCTCATCTGATACTGAACTACCTGAGGGAAGTTGATCTATATCATAAAATGTAACTGTGTAATGTCACTAACGAATTTACCTGCTTTTCAATTTAATGCTATGACATTCTCTGTTCTAAAATGACAACGTAATGAATGTATGTCTTTGAAACGAAACCACTTTGTACTTACAGTGTGTATTAATGCAGACTTGTTCTCGTCACTATATGGCTGGAATAATGCCGATGTGACGTAAAGCCCAACTCAACTCAACTCAACTTCATTACAGATATGTATTCAGTTGTAAGGTTTTGCTGCAAATTTTCTGTATACTTAAACATTTCATGTACGTTTTGCAGATTCATATGAGTAAGTTTCACAACAAATAATCGATCTCTTACGCGCCTGTGGACATTGAAAATGTAACGAAATTGAGGTTCGGGGCACCAAAGACTGTGTACCGACTTATCCGACAACATACACTAACGAATTTAGGGTATTTCTCTAGTAAGTGACACTGTGCATTGCCTTATCGACTTACGTACGTGTAACAGTATTCCATGGATGGTTTATCATCATACTAGAATCTTCCTTATAGATAATTATTTTCAGAAGACGCGCTCTATTAGCATCTTATGACGAACTGAATCTTACCTATAAGCTTCATTAATCATGAACCTGGAACGGAACTATTTCCGTGTTTACCTTCCCATACATGCACGTATGTTGTACCTTAATAGAGGCTCAGGAAATTGGTCAAACATTGCTGTAATAAGTATCTAATCGGTTTTCAATGAACAAACGATAGGCAAATGATTTCCATACCAGTCTGCAGTAACATAATCCGGATCGGGATCGAACTTCCGGAATCTTCGTAAATATTCCTGTGGGTTTTGCCACTAAATATACTTTCAAATTAAAAACTTTGTACGCATGTGAGATTATCTGTATCGAGTATACCCTCCAAATCCAGGTTTAACTTCATGGGTTGATTTATTTGCCAAAACAGAGGCAGTTCTCAGTAAGCAAGTGGGCACGGTTCCCTTACGTTTTCGTGTGTTTTGATGTGGCAACTCTCGGGTATGACGTCACGCGACCGTTTTAGATTCGCAATAGAAGCTGTTTAATGAAATATTACTGTTTATAACTGTATTCTTTGTATATTATATCTATCTAGGTCTTCATTAAGATCGAATATAAACAATGTGTAGTGACCTTTTTAAAAATCCTTTAACGAGTTGTGTTTGTAAAACCATGGAACGAATGGTAGATAATAGATAAACATGGTATCTTCAAACCAATAACCTTATTACATAAATTCACTGTGGTTTCAGGAAAAAGTTTGGTTTGAGGGGTCGTTTACCTCTTTTTATATCACTGTTTTTGTTGAATATTCCATCACAAGGGATATCTATTTCAAATCACGAACTATGAAGGATCTTTTTAATAATGTCAGTTCTCATTTAATTATTGCATTTTTAAAAGAATTAGATTTGTTAAATGATTTGTAAATAGATAAATGGTATTTTAAACATTGTAGTATAAATTTGCAACTGAGATTGTTAGTGGCTGTATCCTCGAAGGGGGTTAAAGTATCGTAAAATTATTGTCCTGAGAGGGTACGTAATATTTCACTGGTCTAACTATGTTACATCCTGGTACGTTGGATATCTGATTATGTTCATGTATTTGTATATGTCATTATGCAATGACCGCCGACTATGATGGAAGACTTTGGTTTCATGAAAAAACAAATTGAAAAAAAAGTCCCAAAACTTTTAAAGTTACATTTTTGCTTACCGAATTTTTAAACGTACTACATTTGTTCCTTTAAAATTCGGCTAAACTTTCCTACAATCGCCAGCGGCTGAAGGGATGGTGTAAATCCTGCTAGGGTCCATGCAGGTAGCAAAGGCACTGTAAGTCCCCGTGGTCCCAAGTATGGTGATCTACCTTAGTTGTTGGCGATCTATAGCCCATTTTTACATTGTATTGTCCAAATATAATCTTCTACTTTTAAAGATCTATGCTAGCTAGTTTTAACTCAATCTTTGATAATCTAGTGGTTTTACTGTCCTTCGTTGACAGGGGTTTATATGTTATATGTATGTATTATAAATTAAGAACTAGTTTTAGTCACGATATGGCTGAAATATTCCCGATGTGACTTTAAATCTTAACTCACTCACTCACAGTTTTTAAGAGACAGGCAATTTCAAGTCCGCGTGGGTTCAACCCTGTCTGGCCATTATAATCAGGATCAGGGTGTCCCACAGGAAGGATTTTGTCTGTTATATTAATAATAAATTGTTTGGTATTAAGATAAACAGTTTATTAAAGGTTTTTAATGATCCAATTGATGGATCACTTTTTGTGGATGATTTTAATATTTCTTAATATGTCGCGGTAAAATTTGCATACTATTGAACGGCAACTGCAGTTGTGTTTAAATAAAGTAATTAAATGATGTCTTGTTAAGGGGTTTTAATTTTCTAAATCTAAAACAAATTGTATACATTTTTGTAGAAAATATAAACTGCAAAAAGACTCTGAACTATTTCTAAATGGCTCTCTCATCAAAATTGTTAAGGAAGCCAAGTTCTTGGGTTTAATTTTTGACTCACATCTAACTTTTCTTCCACATATGAAGTCCCTTAAAACTAAATGCCTGAAGGCACTTTACTTGTTGAAAGTCGTTTCAAATTCTAAGTGGGGAGGGGGTCAAGCTACGCTATATATATCGATCATCGGTCCGTTCAAAACTTGATCATGGCTCCATCGTATATGGTGGAGCCTGCAAAAGCAACCTAAAACTTTTATATTCTGTCCACCACCAAGGTCTAAGACTATGTCTTAGTTCCTTTAGAACTTCATCTGTTGACAGCCTCTACGTCGAAGCTGATGAACCATGTCTTACACAACGCTGTATAACATTAACCTTACAGTATATAACAAAAATATATTCCAACGAGTCAAACCCTGCATATAACTGTGTCTTTAATCCACTATATGAAGACCTTTATAACAAGAAGCCTTCTCTTGCTCCGCCTCTTGGTATAAGAGCGAAACCTTTCCTTTCTGCTGCTGGCATTGAGCTAGAACATATAGATCCTTCCCGTCTTCTTTCTTTTCCTCCTTGGCAATTGGTGAGGCCACAAGTTGACCTTACAACAGAAACAAATGAATTTCAATATAAACAAGAATTTAAATATTAAAAACTAAATATAATACATACAAATCCTTATTAACAGATGGGTCCAAGGATGGCGGCGCGGTTGCTTGTGCCACTGTCATTGGATCAAGAACAATATCTTCTCGATTACCAAATAACAGCTATTTTCACAGCAGAAGCTAACGCCATATTAACTGCTCCTACATATATTAATAAACACCGTAAATATAATCAATACATAATATCTTCCGATTCTCTTTCGTGCCTTCAAGCTATTAAAAATATTTCTTGTAAACATCTACACTTTTAATTGAAACAAGAAGACAAAGTCATCAATATCCCCTGCAATGGCAAAGTACTCTTCATGAATATGTCTACGAGTTAAGATTATTTCCAATATTTGGGTGTGTATATAGAAAAGTGGAAGGAGAGTATTGAACGGTTTTAAAAGTTCTGCTCCAGAAAGGAGCACTACCATCAGTTTCAGACTAAGTCAAACTTGTTGGCATGGAAATGCAAAGATATTTTATTCAGAAATCCAAAACTACCATAAGGCACTAGTACACCACTAGACCAATCTATGTGCAAAGTTTGGTGAAGAAATAGTGAACGGTTTTAGAGTTCTGCTCCGGGAAAGAACACTACCACAAATTTCAGTCTAAGTCAAACTTGTTGCCATGGAAATACCGAAAATATTTTGTTCAGAAATCCAAAATTACCAAACGGCACCAGTACACCACCAGATATATATATGTGCCAAGTTTGGTGAAGAAACATTTAACGGTTTTAGAGTTCTGCTCCGGGAAAAGAGCACTACGACCAATTTCAGTAAAAGTCGAACTTGTTGCCATGGACACGCCAACAATATTTTATTCAGAATTCCAAAACTACCAAAAGGCACCAGTACACCACCAGATCTATCTATGTAACAGGTTTTAAAGTTCTGCTCCGGAAAAGACACATGTGCACGGACGCACGCAAGCACGGACGGTTTCCATTTTAATAAACCCCCCACCCCCGCAAAACGCGTTGCGGGGATAAATATTGAATTGTATAATGATCTTGCTACTGGCCAATGCGACATTGTCTTTTGTTGGTTACCCAATCATGTTGGCATTTCTGGGAATACAATGGCTGATCTTACCGCCAAGGCAGCACTCAACAAAACTGTGACACCACTTCTTCTTCCATACTCTGATTACAAAGCTAGCATTAGAACTTACATCCACGATCTGATGCAGAAGAAGTGGGACACCCAAGTAGGTATCAATAAATTACATGAAATAAAACCCTATATTTGTTACACCTTGGGCTTGGGTTGTCAGTCCAGAATTGAGAAGGTCATTATGCGACAAAGTCGCATTCGCCACACAAGATATACCCATGAATATTTGCTTAAAGGTGAGGATCCTCCGTTTTGTATCCCTTCTGATGAAAGAATCATGATCAAGCATATCCTGCTTGACTGTATTTATTTGCCCATCACAACGGATAAATATTTCAATGTTAAAACAGTGAAGGATCCTTTTCCTGTAAATTATCATTTAATCACTGAATTTTTAAAAGAAATAGAATTTCTAGATACATTTTGAATACGTTTTGTAAATAGATAATAGAATTTTAAACACGGTAGTATAAATTAGTAACTCCGATTCTTAGTGGCTGTAGGCACCCATGAAGGGCCACCTCCTCGTGGTGGGTGCTGGGTCACGCTAAGCGCCCTTCAACCCCCCGTTGTGGACCCGGGGATATATTTGGTCCACCAACCTGTTTGCCGTGGGTTGCGCCCCTGTGTCGGTGGAGAACGGGAGGCTGGTGGTTGAGGGGACTTGAACCAGGACCAGTTGTTCCTGTTGCCCAACACACCACTTCGCCCCTTACTTCACCTAGACGGGTGGTTGAATGGGCCCGGTTCAATCAATCGGCTGGTCACGCCAGGCCCTGTGCATAGTGAATATTATTGCACATCTTTTATATATTACCTTGGTCTTGGCTATTCTAAATTCCAACTATTCATGTTATTCTATTGCCTTGAGTCCTATGCCAGAAGGCGGTGGCTCATGGGCCAATCTGGCTTTACTGACCTCCGGGTTCTAATTGTCTTCAGACAACTGTCATGGGCGGAACCAGCCTGACTTTTATTCTGTTTGACAATATTAGCTTCCTGTGTCTGTATTGCTTGAGTATAACATCCCTGTAACTCTAGTGTTTCGTAGTCGGTTTCCACTTCGACACCGTCCTTGTTGACACTCCATGGTGGGTGAGGAGCAGGGATGTTGAATTTACATTCTTCATTATGGCTACCCAACAACCCTCTGGTTCTCGTTCCAAATCAAAGAGAAAACATATCGATTTAGACTTTGTCTCGTCTTCTGATGATGAATCAGGGACAACTAATTTGGATTCTTGGCCCCGTTTCCTGGTTGTACAGGGAGCGGATGGACAACCACTGCAACTTAACCCTTTTGCTGTATCTAAAGCTATTGCTGGAATATGTGGTGATGTGAAAAATGTTACTCGCCTCAAAACAGGTTCCTTGCTGGTGGAGTGTGCCAGGAAGCAACAATCTGTCAATTTGCTCAAAGCAGGACACTTTGCAAACACTAGGATTGAGGTTTCGCCCCACAGAACACTGAATTCTTGTAGAGGCATTGACCGCGATAGGGCAAAATGTCTTACTGATATGACAGAAGTAGATATTGCAGCGGAACTTCAGTCTCAAGGTGTCACGTCAGTGAAAAGATTCACACGAAAAGATGGTGATAAGTTTATCAAAACCAATACGTATCTTTTCACATTTTGTCTTTCATCACTACCAAAAACAATTAAAGCTGGATATTTCAACATTGAGGTGGAAGTCTACATCCCGAATCCTCTTCGGTGTTTTAAGTGTCAGCAGTTTGGACACGGTGCTACTGCATGTAATAATTCTCAAATATGTTCTCGCTGTAGTGGCAAACATGACAATGCTGACTGTACAAGTGATATCAAGTGTGCAAATTGTCATGGTGATCACATGTCCTCTTCAAGATCATGTCCAACCTTTGAAGGACAAGCACAGATTCTGAAAATAAAACACACCAAAAATATTTCTTTTGCTGAAGCAAAGAAATTGTTACCAAACACCTCTCCACAGAAAACGTACGCTGCTGTAGCATCTACTTCCTGTCTGAAGGTTGACCATGGGTGCCAGACGGCCATCTCGTGGGTATCAGAAAATCAAACTATTATCTATAAAATCTCTGAGGATACTGGAACATCTACTCAGACTGATGCTTACCTGCAAGCTCAGTCACTACCTGGTACTTTACAAAAAAATCATTCTGAGACACCAGCACCAGCTTCTCATAAACAACCAGACACCGATCCTTTGTCAAAAAAGAAAGGTAAGAAATTGAATAAGAAACCAAGAAATACTATTCCTTTACCTTCAGAGCTCCCTCTGGAAAATCCATTTGGTCCTCTCGATATGGAGGTTACTCTGTCCTCACAGGAAAAGCGGAGGACAAATTCTTCCTCCCATTCTAGAGAGAGATCCCCAATTGAGCCACCATGACTCAATTCTCTCATATCGTTCAGTGGAATTGCAGAGGATTGAAGAACAACTTCAATGAAATACACTTACTCCTACAAGATCTTCAACCTTCAGCTTTATGTCTGCAGGAAACACATTTAAAGCCGACAGACGAAATTAACTTGCGTCATTACAGCTCATATTATTTTTCTCCTCCTGGCGATAGGGCCACTGGAGGTTCTTCTATCTTAGTCAAACAGAATGTTATTCATAGCCCTGTTGCTCTTACATCTAGTCTTCAGGCGGTTGCAGTGCGACTCACTTTACACATTGCATTTACCTTATGCTCTTTGTATATTTCTCCGTCTTCAACCTTGCAGAAGACTGACCTTCAATCTCTATTTGACCAACTACCAAAACCCTGCATTATTATGGGGGGACTTTAATGGCCATAACCCACTCTGGGGTGGTACAACCACAAATGCTAAAGGTAAATTATTAGAGGAGTTCTGTACAGATAATGATTTATGCATTTATAATGACGGTGCCAAAACATATTTACATCCTGGCACAGGAACTTATTCAGCCCTTGATTTATCAATTACAGACTCAAACCTTCTGAATGAATTTGAATGGTCAGTCCACAATGACCTGTGTGGTAGTGACCATTTTCCTACAATATTGCAGCCTGTGAGCCCATCTGATCTTGCCCCAACCTCAAGATGGAATTTTCAAAAAGCTAACTGGCATTTATATCAATCTCTGTGTTGTAACAGACTTAAAACTGAACTTTTTATAGATGTTCCTGATGCCATAAAGGATTTTTCTGATGAACTCAAGAAAATAGCTGATGAGTGTATACCCAAATCCTCTGCAATTCCACACGTACGAAAACCATGGTTTAACGACGAATGCAAACAGGCACGGAAGGCACGGAAGAAAGCTGAGCATTATTTCCGTCGCCATCCTATGGTCCACAATTTAGACAAATTTAGAATTTTAAACGCTAAGGCACGACGTACTTTTAAGCAAAATAAACGCCAATCTTGGCGAAACTATGTCTCAAAAATCAATTCGCGCACACCGATATCAAAGGTGTGGAACATGATCCAGAAAATAAAAGGTAAGGGCTCTAAATCCAGCATTAAGCATCTCAAAGACGGAGATGAATTATTAACTGATACATCTGACATAGCAAATAAACTTGGAGAAACTTTGGCCAAACATTCTTCCTCATCCAACTATGTACCTGAATTCCAGAAATATCAAAGACAGCAGGAAAAGAAATCTATTAATTTCAATTCAGATAATGGGGAAGACTACAATGAAACCTTTTCAATCCATGAGCTTCATACTGCTCTTGACCAAGCTCACAATACTTCCTCAGGAGCTGATGGTATACATTATCAACTCCTGAAACACTTACCTGCATCATGTTTGGAGACACTGTTACATATTTTTGATGACATTTGGACAACTGGAAATTTCCCTTCGTCGTGGCGCGATGCTATAATTGTGCCCATTCCTAAACCTGGACGTGATTATACAGATCCCTCTAATTACAGACCAATTTCACTGACAAGCTGCGTTTGCAAAACCATGGAACGTATGATCAACAATAGACTTGTTTGGTACTTGGAAACCAATAACCTTATAACTAATATACAATGTGGTTTCCGTAAAAAACGTAGTACCATCGATCATTTGGTACGTTTAGAGTCTTTTGTAAAAAATGCCATAATTAATAAACAACATGCAGTGTCGATCTTTTTCGACTTAGAAAAAGCATACGACACGACATGGAAACATGGGATTTTAAAAGACTTACATGATTTTGGATTACGAGGCCGTTTGCCTCAATTTATATCCAACTTTTTAAATGACCGGCAATTTCAAGTCCGAGTGGGTTCAACCCTGTCTGACCATTACAATCAGGATCAGGGTGTCCCGCAAGGCAGTATTTTGTCTGTCACCTTGTTTAGTATCAAGATAAACAGTTTATCCAAGGTTTTAAACGATTCAATTGATGGATCACTTTTTGTGGATGATTTTAATATTTCTTGTCGTGGTAAAAATATGCATACTATTGAACGGCAATTGCAGTTGTGTTTAAATAAAATAAATAAATGGTGTCTAGAAAACGGCTTTAAATTTTCCAAGTCCAAAACTAATTGTCTACACTTTTGTAGAAAATATAAGCCGCATAAAGATCCAGAACTATCATCAAATGGCACTCCCATCAAAGTTGTTAAGGAGGCCAAATTCTTAGGTCTAATTTTCGACTCCCATTTAACCTTTTTGCCGCATATTAAATCACTTAAAGCCAAATGCCTGAAGGCACTTGATTTGTTGAAAGTTGTCTCCAACTCGAAGTGGGGAGGGGATCAAACTACCCTCCTTCACTTATACCGATCATTGGTACGATCTAAACTTGATTATGGTTCGATCGTATATGGCGGAGCCTGTAACAGCAACCTTAAACTACTTGATTCTGTTCACCACCCAGGTCTAAGACTCTGTCTTGGATCATTTAGAACTTCTCCAGTTGATAGTCTCTATGTTGAGGCAGATGAGCCTTCTCTTTCCCAACGCCGTATTAAATTATCTTTACAATATATTACCAAACTATTTTCTAACGAGTCTAACCCTGCATTTAACTGTGTCTTCACTCCTCTTTATGAGGATTTGTATAACAAAAAGCCTTCTCTTGTTCCGCCTCTTGGGCACAGAATTAAACCATTCCTTTCTGCTGCTGGCATTGAGCTGGAGAATATTTCTCCTTCTCGTCTTCTTTCTTCTCCTCCTTGGCAATTGGTGAGGCCAGACGTTGACTTAACATTAACCACATTTAAAAAATCAGAAACTAATGATTTACAATATAAACAAGAATTTAGTCAATTAAGAAATAGATATAATACCTATAAGTCCTTATATACAGATGGATCCACGGATGGTGGCGCAGTGGCATGTGCCACTGTCATTGGATCCCGAACAATATCTTCTAGAATACCAGATAACAGTTCCATTTTTACAGCAGAAGCTTACGCCATATCAACGGCTCTTAAATATATTCAACGACATCCTAAACATAAACAGTACATCATCTTTTCCGATTCCCTTTCATGTCTTCAGGCTATTAAAAATATTTCTTGTAAACATCCACTTTTATTAGAAATTATTGAATTGTATAATGAGCTTGCTACTGGCCAGTGCGACATCGTCTTTTGTTGGTTACCCAGCCACGTTGGCATTTCTGGGAATACCATGGCTGATCTTGCTGCTAAGGCAGCACTCAACAAATCTGTGACACCACTTCTAATTCCATACTCTGATTATAGATCTAGCATTAGAACATACATCCGCTATCTGATGCAGAAGAAGTGGGACACCCAAGTAGGTATCAATAAATTACATGCAATTAAACCAACCATCGGTTACACCTACTTGGGTTGCCAGTCCAGATTTGAAGAGGTCATTATGCGACGATGTCGCATTTGCCATACGCGTTATACTCATAAATACTTGCTAAAAGGTGAAGATCCTCCGTTTTGTATCCCTTGTGATGAGAGAGTTACGGTCAAGCATATCCTGCTTGACTGTGTTGAATTCTCCATCATAAGGGATAAATATTTCAGTGTGCAAACTCTTAAGGATCTTTTTACTACTATTAATTCTCATTTAATTATTGGTTTTTTAAAAGAAATTGACTTCATTGATGAAATCTGATTAACATGTTCTGTAGATAGATGTATTTTAATGATTGGTAGTTTAGATTAGTAACTGAGATTGTTAGTGGCTGTACCCTCAAAGGGGGTTGAAGTAGTGTAAAAGTATTGTCCTCCTGAGAGGGTACGTAAGTCCCAAAACTTTCAAAGTAGAATTTTCACATACAAAGGTTTTAATCGTAGTATTTTTGTTCATTTATATTTCGGCTAAATTATCCTACAATCACCAGCGACTGAAGGGATAGTGTAAATCCAACTAGGGTTCATGCAGGTAGCAAAGGTACTGTAAGTCCCCATGGACCCTAGTATGGTGACCTACTTTCAGTTGTTGGTGATCTATAGCCTAGTTTTATATTGTGTTGTCCCGTAAAGTTAAAATGTTTTAGACTCTATTACTAGTTTTATCTGTATATGTGATATTCTAGTTGTTTTACTGCCCTTCGTTGGCAGGTTTTTATAATATACATATATTTCACTTCAATATCAAATGTTCTCGTCACGATATGGCTGAAATATTGCCGATGTGACGTTAAATATTGACTCACTCACTCACTTAGTGGCTGTATATACTTTTTCTGCTTTTAAATGACAATGTAACGAATATATGTTTTTGAAATAAAACTCATTCCCAGTATGTTCTTAAAATGTTTCTTAATGCAAACTTGTTCTCGTCACTATATGGATGAAATAATGCCGATTTGACGCAAAACCCAACTCAACTCAAGGGGTGTTGAAGTAGCGTAAAATTATTGTCCTCCTGAGAGTGTACGTAAGACCAAAAACTTCAAGATCTATTTAGCACTACCAACTTTTTAATCGTAGAATATTTGTTTTTTTTTAATAATAGCCAAAACTTACCACAATCGCCAACGGCTGAAGGGATGGTGTAAATCCAGCTGGAGTCCATGCAGGTAGCAAAAGTAATGTAAGTCACCATGGTCCTTAGTGTGGTGATCAGCCTTCAGTTGCTGGTGATCTATAGCCCGTTATATATTGTATTGTTGTCGACAGTGATATCTTTTTTATGATAACGTACTAGTTTTAAATTTTAGAGCTGTGATACTCTAGTAGATTTACTGTCCTTCGATGGTAGATTTTTATGTTCTAAATTTATTGATTTTAATGTTGATATAAATTGTATTGTTCTCGTCACGATATGGCTGAATATTGCCGATGTGACGTTAAATATTAACTCACTCACTCACGCTGTGAGAACTGCCAATTACCTGCCCCATAAACACGTCACTGGCTGTGAGGTGAGTGAGTGAGTTAGTATTTAACGTCACATCGGCAATATTGCAGCCATATCGTGACGAGAAATGTTTTATATAAATAATAAATTAAAGTTGCTAAAGAATCAGTCAGCGAAGGACTGTAAAATAACTAGAGTATCACAGATGGAGTCTAAAACTAGCAGGAACATGTAAAACTATTTTATTTACGAAGACAATACAATATAAAAACGGGCTATAGATCGCCAACAACTGAAGGTAGATCACCATACTAGGAACCATGGGGACTTACATTACTTTTGCTACCTGCATGGACCCTAGTTGGATTTACACCATCCTTTCAGCCATTGGCGACAGAAGAGAAATCTAGCCATAAATTAAAAACACACTTATTCTACGATTAAAAAGCAGGTACACTTAGATTGACTAAATGTTTTGGGACTTACGTACCCTCTCAGGAGGACAATAATTTTACAATACTTCAACCCCCTTTGAGGATACAGCCACTAACAATCTCAGTTGCTAATCTAAACTACCAATAATAAAATATATATCTATTTACAAATCACTCAACAAATCTAATTTTTTTAAAATGCAATAATTAAGTGAGAACTGACATTATTAAAAGATCCTTCAGATTTTTGGATTTGAAATAGATATCCCTTAATGATGGAATATTCAATGCAGTCAAGCAAGACATGCTTGACTGTGATTCTTTCATCACAAGGGATGCAAAACGGAGGATCTTCGCCTTTAAGCAAATATTCATGGGTATATCTAGTATGGCCAATGCGACATCGCCGCATAATGACCTCTTCAAATCTGGACTGACAACCCAAGTAGGTGTAACCAATGTAGGGTTTTATTGCATGTAATTTATTAATACCTACTTGGTTGTCCCACTTCTTCTGCATTAGATCGCGGATGTATGTTCTAATGCTGGCTTTGTAATCAGAGTATGGAATTAGAAGTGGTGTCACAGATTTGTTGAGTGCTGCCTTAGCAGCAAGATCGGCCATTGTATTCCCAGAAATGCCAACATGGCTGGGTAACCAACAAAAGACGATGTCGCATTGGCCAGTAGCAAGTTCATTGTACAATTCAATAATTTCTAATAAAAGTGGATGTTTGCAAGAAAGATTTTTAATAGCCTGAAGACACGAAAGAGAATCTGAAAAGATGATATATTGTTTATATTTACGATGTTTATTAATATATTTAAGAGCTGTTAAGATGGCGTTTGCTTCTGCTGTGAAAATAGAGCTGTTATTTGGTAGTCGAGAAGATATTGTTTTGGATCCAATGACAGTGGCACATGCCACCGTGCCACCATCCTTGGACCCATCTGTAAATAAGGATTTGTATGTATTATATTTGATTTTTAATTGATTATAATCTTGTTTATATTGTAATTCATTAGTTTCAGATTTCTTAAACTTAGTTAGGACTTAGTCAGAGTTAGGTCAACTTCAGGCCTAACCAATTGCCAAGGCGGAGAAGAAAGAAAACGGGAAGGAGCTATATATTCTAGCTCAATGCCAGCAGCAGAAAGGAAAGGTTTCAATCTTATACCAAGAGGCGGAACAAGAGAAGGCTTTTTGTTATACAGATCTTCATATAGTGGATTAAAGACACAGTTATATGCAGGGTTTGACTCATTGGAATAAAGTTTTGTAATATACTGTAAAGTTAATTTTATACGGCGTTGTGTAAGAGAAGGCTCATCTGCTTCAACATATAGACTATCAATAGGAGAGGTTCTAAAGGACCCAAGACACAGTCTTAGGCCTTGGTGGTGGACAGAATCAAGTAGTTTTAGGTTGCTTTTGCAGGCTCCACCATATACGATGGAGCCATAATCAAGTTTCGAGCGGACCAATGATCGATACAGGTGGAGGAGGGTAGCTTGATCCCCTTCCCACTTTGAGTTGGAAACAACTTTCAACAAATCGAGTGCCTTCAGGCATTTGGCTTTAAGTGATTCAATATGTGGCAAAAAAGTTAAATGGAAGTCGAAAATTAGACCCAAGAATTTGGCCTCCTTAACAACTTTGATGGGAGTGCCATTTAAAGATAGTTCTGGATCTTTATGCGGTTTATATTTTCTACAAAAATGTATACAATTAGTTTTTGATTTAGAAAATTTAAAGCCGTTTTCTAGACACCATTTATGTATTTTATTTAAACACAACTGCATTTGCCGTTCAATAGTATGCATATTCTTACCGCGACAAGAAATATTAAAATCATCCACAAAAAGTGATCCATCAATTGAATCATTTAAAACCTTTGACAAACTGTTAATCTTGATACTAAATAAAGTGACAGACAAAATACTGCCTTGAGGGACACCCTGATCCTGATTATAATGGTCAGACAGGGTTGAACCCACTCGGACTTGAAATTGCCTGCCTCTTAAAAACTGTGATAAAAAAAGAGGTAAACGACCCCTCAAACCAAAATCATGTAAATCCTTCAAAATGCCATGCTTCCAGGTCGTATCATAAGCTTTCTCAAGATCAAAGAAAATTGATACAGCATGTTGTTTATTTACTATAGCATTTTTAACAAAGGATTCTAAACGTACCAAATGATCAATGGTACTACGATTTTTCCTGAAACCACATTGAATATTTCTTATAAGGTTATTAGTTTCAAGATACCAAGTTAGTCTATTATTCACCATACGTTCCATGGTTTTACAGACACAGCTAGTTAGAGAGATCGGTATGTAATTAGACGGATCGGTATGATCCTTGCCAGGTTTTGGTATTGGGACTACAATGGCATTACGCCATGAAGGAGGAAATTCTCCAGACGTCCATATTTTGTCAAAGATATCTAAAAGTGTCATCAGACACGGTTCCGGTAAGTGTTTCAGTAGCTGGTAATGTATATTGTCATCACCCGCTGCAGTGTCATGAGCTCGCTCAAGAGCAGTATGTAGCTCATGTAATGAAAACACTTCGTTATAATCTTCACCGTTATTTGATTCGAAATTAAGTTTTGTCTTTTCCTGTTGTTTCTGGTACCTCTGAAACTCGGGGACATAATTTGCCGATGATGAATTTTTGGCAAGAGTTTCGCCAATTTTATCTGCAATTTTAGATTTGTCAGTTATTAAATTGTCACCATCTTTAAGATGATGAACAGCAGACTTTGAACCTTTGCCTTTAATTCTTTGAACCATGTTCTATACTCTGGACATTGGCGTACGTGAATTAATTTTGGAGACATAGTTCCTCCAAGATTGTCGTTTGTTTTGTTTGAAGATACGACGTGCCTTCGCATTGAGTTTTTAAAATTTATTTAAGTTATGGACAGTTGGGTGATGGCGGAAATAGTTCTCTGCCTTTTTCCTCGCTTTTCTGGCTTGCCTACAATCTGTATTAAACCATGGTTTCCGTACATGTGGAGTTGTAGAGGACTTTGGTATACATTCATCAGGTATTTCATTTAAAACCTCAATAGGATCAGTTATATCACTGAAATATTCGGGTCTTAGTTTAGATGTGCATAACGTTTGAAATAAGGACCAGTCTGCCTTGGAAAATTGCCATCTTGTATAAGATGTAGAATCAGATGGATAAAATGCTGATAGGATAGTGGGAAAGTGGTCACTTCCACAGAGGTCATTGTGGACTGACCAATCAAACTCACTGAGGAGGTTAGAGTCTGCAAGAGACAAATCTAGAGAAGAGTAGGTGCCGGTTGCAGGATGCAGGTAAGTGCTTGAATCGTCATTGTATATACATAAATCATTATTGGATATAAAATCTTCCAGTACTTTACCTTTTGGGTTAGTGTTTGTACCACCCCAGATCGGGTTATGGCCATTGAGATCACCCATTATAATACAAGGTTTAGGAAGTTGGTCATAGAGAGCTTGAAGATCAGACTGCTGGAGTGTTGAAGAAGGGGGAATATACAGAGAGCATAGTGTAAAGGTAACATGAAGAGTAAGTCTCACTGCAACGGCTTGGAGATTACTTGAGAGTGTTACAGGACTATGGATAACATCCTGCTTAACAAGTATCGAAGACCCTCCAGTCGCCCTGTCACCCGGAGGTGAAAAAGAATTACTAGTATATGCAACAAACTGACGTAAATTAAAAATATCTGTCTGCTTCAGATAAGTTTCCTGCAGACAGAAAGCTGATGGTGCAAAATCTTGGATTAATAGCTGTAACTCATTAAAATTGGACCTTAATCCTCTACAGTTCCACTGTACTATAGTTCTGGAATGGACTATCGTTTAGGAGGGTTGATTGGGGATCTACCCCGCACTGTCTTTGAGGGCGACATGCTATGTGCCCTTGGATGGTTGTGATCAGATACATCCATTTCCTCCAGTGATCCAAACTTGTTAAACAATTTTATTTCATTTTCTGACCCTTTAGGTGTTCGATTTGATTTGGACGTTTCAGTTCTGGTCTTGAATTTCGATTTGGCAGTTTGTTTTTCATTTCTATCAGACTGAGAAGGAGTGATGGTTGTAGGTGATACGATTTGTTCGGTAGAAACTATTGTATCTGTCTGAGTAGACTGTTCAGGGGAGATAGACTTGGGAATATCTGTATTCACCCATGTCAGGTCAGTCTGACATGAACTTGACGCAGTCATTAGTGGTGAAGATGGTCGTTTTGAGGACGTTTCAGGTGTTTTGGTGACGGAGGCGTACGTTTCCGTGTGTTCAGTAGATAGGACAATCTTTTTTGCTTCGGCAAAACTGATATTCTGGGAAAATTTGATTTTATTAACTTCCATTTGCCTTTTCCAAATTGGACATTCTTTAGAAAAGGATGAATGACTTCAAGAACAGTTTGCACATTTTTTGTAATTACTGTCACAATCTGTGTATTCTCAGCACAGTGAGCACATGTAACAGACAATGTGCAAGTATTAACACCATGTCCGTACTTTTGACGCTTGAAGCAGCGCAGAGGATTAGGAATATATAGGTCAACATTCAGATTGCAGTAACCTGCTTTGATTGACTTAGGAGGATTTGGAGCTGAAAATGAAAAGAGATAGGTATTGGTTTGTACAGTCTCATTATTTTTCCGAGTTGTAAAACGTTTGACGAAAGATACTCCTTGATCTTTCATCTCAGATACAATATCGAGCTCAGTCATGTCTGCTAGAAGATGATCACGGTCTCGAACAATACCTTTGCTAGAATTCAGCGTTCTGTGAGCAGAAACTAACACCGGGACTCCGATAAACATATCAGTCGATAACAGGTTAGTAGCTTGTAGTTTTCTGCTACATTCAATTAGTAGCGATCCTGAGCGCAAGCGTTTGATGTTTTTTACCTCACCTGCAATGCCAGAGACACCTTTTGAAATAGCAAATGGATTTAATTTCAACGGAGTCTTGTCAAGAGTCTCTAGAACCAAAAACCGAGGCCAGTATTCAATCAGCTTGTTTATCCTGAACGATGTACATCAAAATGCCGCAATATGCAATAAACAGGGAGTTGTTATCACGTAAGTGGTATGTTTCGTTATGTATCCCCATACTGTTTACTGTAGTATAAGTGAGATCTGCTTCAGTTTGCGAATCACCAATTTGTTTAAGTTGATTTTAGTCCTACTTTATTGTCTAATATATTGATCTCAGATTAAAACATCTCATTCCAAATTCGTGTAATCCTATGTCAGACGTACTGAATTTTTACATATTAGATATAACTCTACCGGTACCAGTTTGACGTGTCTGGTCACGAGTTAATTACCATAGTGATAAATGTATATTTGTTTCAATTACATGTGTCATTAAAGCGTTATTTATGCCATTATTATGTTCTCTAATCCATTTCATCATACAGCATTTATTTCATTCATAGTTTTGATGCTCATATGGTAACATGTGAAATGGTACTGTTTTAATTTATTTTGACGTGTGAAATTAGTTTCGTTCTTCAAGTGCTCCAACCAATATAGTCATTATGGTTACAAACAGCCTGATTCTAAATACCTATAAATTTAGACGGTATATACGAGTGTATGCGCACACACACACTCACAAAACATACGTAAATGTGAATTCTGTTCGGACGAAAAAGAAATACCTAATTTGATAAGAAACACTATATTAATTATCTTCCCTCACCCTGAGAGAAGCATGGCATTATTTGTTCATTTTTAAATAATTGTATGTGCTTAAAAGAGGGGTTATAACAATATGTGAAACAAATTTCCGTATACTGCCATTTCACCAACATTGCGATATTGTCCATGGGATAATGTTAAGTTCAGTCTGATTTCAATGTCATAATATGCGAGGTTCCTCATTCACATGCACACTGACAGCTCAACACAAAACTACATACAATCAACCAAATTTAATACAACATACCTTTTTCCGCCTGTGACTGTTGACGAATCGCCCAGGTGTATTAGAGCGATGATCACATCGTGACAGCAAGATTTATTGATGTCAACTTCTCAATTGTGAATAACGCGACGCTTTGGAGCGTATGCTTGTTCCTTCATCAGGTGAAAATCAAGTCACAATAAAGAAGGTGACATGCATAAATCTTGCTTTTCGTATGCATTCCACTTCTAAATGCCCTTAGATTTAATTTACTTGCAGAGGCTTCTTTGGGAGGCATTGGAACTTGGTTTCCTTCCAGAGGATGTCTTAACTGACTTAACAGTAGGCCTTGTTAATTGGTGAATCTTAAAGGGGAAGTGTACATGATAAAATCACATTTATTCTTATGTGAAACAAAATGAAATATTTTAATTGTTTAATATCAATGTTTGAAATTACACACTCATTTGTCTTACAATGAAAGTATAACCCTCAAAATAAGTGCTGAAATGTTATGCCATTTGCGGCCGTTGTTTGCCGAGCTAAACAGGCCAGAGTTACCGCCCTTTAGTTATGACGTAATTGGTGCTAGTTGATTTTAGACTGGTCCCCTGTCTTGTCCCAAATCAAAAGATAATAACACTGAAATGAATAACGTGAGAAAAATTTGTGAAAATACGAAAGAAGCATAAGAACTGAAAATGTAAGCAGCAGGACAGATTGATCGTGTGTGTTTTCATTCCTAACCTCACGTCAATGAAAATACCAAATATGTGTAACAATGTTGGGTGTCTATTAAATTCAATTCTCCCAGCAAAAAATGACATTTGAATTAAGTCATAGATCTACTATAAATGACGCAAAACACAGTGATTGTGACTGGGGATTTCGTAATGTGTCAAAACTGGCCAGATTTACAGTGCATGTAATGTTCAGTATATTTGCCTTACAATGAGCGAATGATGTCATAGAAAAACGAATTTCAAACAGAATTTCAAACTGCCATCTTCGTGGTGTATTTGGATATGGTACCATCAGCCACCAATTATCTCCAATTGTGGACATTTCCAAAATTGTGAATTGTTGGAAATCCCATATTTCCAAAATTGTACATGTCTAGTAAACCTCATCTTTAAAAAGTTGTAAATGTCTTGGAAACCTCATCTTTCCAAGACATTCCCAAACTTGTAAATGGCATAAGGCATGGGCATTTGTTTATTATGATCGATAAATTTGAAAAAGGTTTTATTTTCCTCCGGGATGTCCATCCTTACAGCTGTTTCTCCAACTCCACGACAATCTTCTTTGTGTGTTTCCAACAGGTCGGCTCGACAATCACCGTGAAGGCATCAATCGCAGAAGTGTGTTTTTTCTCCAGTATGTTTCGATTGATCTCTTAAAAGTCTGCTCAGCCTTTCTAGACAGGTCATGGATTGTCTCAGCCTTCAGTTAGAGATCCTAACAATAATGAGATGGCAGGTAGAGCACTTAGTGAAACCCGTCAGCAGGATTGATGAGTTCAGGGCCAGTTTGTTCTAATTGTAAGAAACAAGGATATTTGTTAAGTGCATGTTGGAAATTGAAGAACAAATCTCAGGGTGAACAGTTGGCACATGCTCTTGCCTCAGTGATATCACATCAGTTGTCTCAAGTGGATGTTGAGGATGTGCCGGTAGACAAGGTGCCCTTTGAAAAGGGTGATTCTCCTTTTATGTCGAACGGATTGGTGTCCTTAGTAGGTGATAGGTCTGTCTCAAAACCTGTAGATATCCTGAGAGATACTGGAGCCCTCCAGACTCTTATGCTAGAAGATGGCCTACCATTTTCCGAGAAAACGTACACAGGAACCAGTGTCCTCATTCGGGGAATTTGGGGTTACATTAAGGTACCACCTCACTTATTGAAGAACAGAAGATGAATCCAGAACTTAGGTATGCTGACAGTGTACCAAAGACTGCGAGCGGTCGTTTTAAAGTTCTAAAATGTCCAGAATGATTGGGTGACTTGAAGTAACATTTTGAAGTGCTTTTAGGCAAGATAATGAATCTGTGAAAACGATGAAGTTTTTGGAATGATTCTGCTGTTTAAGCTAGGTCAAAGCGGAAAAGATAGCTTTGGCCTCAGCAGTGAAAATGGAACTGTTGTCGGGAATCCTAGAAGAGAATTCCATTGAATCATGTTTTGTGTATTCATGGGGCTTCCACTAGTGACATGTCACGTGAGCGTGAGGAAGCGTTTGAAGTGCTCCGATTGGTGTCAGGTGGAGATGGAGTGACCTCCATATCCAGAGGGCCAAAGGAGTTATGGACCTCGACGGGGACCTCCAAAGGAGAGGTGGCCTTTGGTTTTGGGTTATGCAGTTGCTCAAGCTGCTTTAGTCTCTGTAGCTTCTTTATTTCCCTTTTGTGGCGCACAGATTCTGTTCTGGTTTTGACATTTGTTCTGGTGTTTGGGATTCAGAAGTTTTGGCTTTTGGTTTTGGAGATGGAGTGGCTGAGTTGTGTTGAGCTCAGGCCTTGGTGGTGGATAGAATCTAATTTTTCTAAATAGCTTTTGCAGGCTCCACCATAAAAAATGGAGCCGTAGTCTAGTTAAGAGCGAACCAAGGATCTCTACAAGTGAAGGAGGGTAGTCTAATCCCTTCCCGACTCTGTATTTGAAACGACTGTTAGTAAGTCCAAAGCCTTCAAGCACTTGGTTTCCCAATTCAGTTTAGTTCTACACACCTTTTTTAATCGTACAATATTTGTTGTTTTATTATGGCTAAATATCAGTACAATCGCCAGTGGTATAAATCCAGTTAGGGTCCATGCAGGTAGCCAAAGTACTCTAACTCCCCATGGTCCCTAGAGTGGTGATCTACCTTCAGTTGTTGGCGATCCGCAGCCTTTCTTATTACTGTGATATACTAGTTGGTTTTACTGTAACTTCGTGGACAGGTTTCTTTGTCATAAATTTATAACTGTCTGACGATATGGCTGAAATACTGCCGCTGTGACTATAAGCTTTAACTCACTCACTCACTCACTCTTCAAATATTTTATTTGTGGTAAGAATGTCAAGTGACGATCGAATATGAGTCCCAGGAAGTTGGACTCTTCTACTACTTTGATGGGAGTACCATCTAAAAGATAGGTCTGGATCCCTGTGTGGTTTGTATTTACGACAAAAGTGAATACAATTTGTTTTGGACTGTGAAAACTTTAAACCATTTTCATTGGCCCATTTTTTGGATTTTGTTAAGCCAGAGTTGTAGCTGCCTTTCTATTGCGTGCATGTTCTTATCACGACATAAAATGATGAAATCGTCCACGAAAAGGGACCCATCAACACAACTGTTGAAGACGTTAGTGAGGCTGTTAATTTTGATACTAAAAAGTGTGACAGACAGGATGCTGCCTTGAGGGACGCCCTGATCTTGGTTGAAATAATCAGACAATGTGGAACCCACCCGTACTTCAAATTATCTGTTGCTTAGAAACTAAGATATGAACTGAGGTAATCTGCCCCTCAATCCAAATTCATGTAAATCTTTCATGTTTCCACGTTGTATCGTATGCTTTTTCTAAATCGAAAGAGATAGATACAATATGTTGTTTGTTGACAATGGAATTTATTTTTTGATAAAAGATTCCAGATGCACCAGATGGTCAATGGTACTTCGGTGTTTTCGGAAACCACATTGGAGGTCACTTAGGAGGTTATTGGTCTCCCAGTACCAGATTAATCGATTGTTGACCATGCGCTCCACGGTTTTACAAACACAACTAGTTATTGTGTAGGACGGTAGTTTGAGGGATCCGTATGATCCCGACCAGGCTTTGGTATAGGGATGATAATGGCATTGTGCCACGAAGGAGGATAGTTGCCGGTTATCCAAATGTCATCAAATATATTGAGTAGAGTTTCCAAACTTGAATCAGTGAGGTGTTCGAGAAGCTGATAATGAATATCATCAGCTCCTGCTGCAGTGCCGTGAGCCTGCCCCAGGGCAGTACGTAGTTCATGGAGAGAGAACGTTTTGTCCTCACCATTATCAGAGTTAAAATTGACTGATTTCTTTTCTTGTTGGATTTGGTATTTCTGGAACTTGGGGTTATAGTTTGACGAGGAGGAGTGATTTGCCAAAGTTTCGCCAAGTTTGTTTGCAATTTCAACTTTATTGATTAAAAGGGAGTCACCATCTTTGAGATGGCGAACACCAGATTTGGATCCTTTGCCCTTAATCTTTGAATCATGTTCCACACCTTGGACACGGGTGGGCGGGAGTTGATTTTGGACACATACTTCCTCCATGATCTGCGTTTAGTTTGCTAAAAGGTACCTCTAGCCCTGTCATTTATCATTTTAACAGCATTCAGGTTATGCACAGTAGGATGTTGTCGGAAGTATTTTTCCGCCTTCTTCCTATTTTTTTCTAGTTTGTTTGCAGTTTGCATCAAAGCATGGTTTTCGTATGTGTGGGTTTGCGTATGTGCGGGTTTGCAGAGGACTTAGGAGTGGTTTTGTCTCCGATGTCATGTAGGACGTCTGAAATTAGTTCCATTGGATCAGGAACATTCCTGAAATTGTCAGGTTTAAGCTTTTCAGAACATAGGGTTTGGGTGAGTGAGTGAGTAAATATTTAACGTCACATCGGCAATATTTCAGCCATATCGTGACGAGAACATTTGATATTGAAATGAAATATATGTATATTATAAAAAACCTGCCGACGAAGGACAGTAAAACATCTAGAATATCACAATTTGATGTAAAACTAGCGTAGAAAGTTAAAACAAATAGCACTATTTGGACAACACAGTATAAAAAAGGGGCTAGAGATCGCCAACAACTGAAGGGAGATCACCATACTAGGGACCATGGGGACTTACATTACTTTTGCTACCTACATGGACCCTAGCTGGATTTACACCATCCCTTCAGCCATTGGCGTTGATGCTGAAATTAAGCCATACATTAAAAACACAAAAATACTACGATTAAAAACCTGGTACACTTAAATTGACTTTTAAATTGATGTTTTGGGACTTACATAGGGTTTGGAATAATGGCCAATTGGCCTTAGTAAAATTCCATCCTGTTGAAGGTGGTTCGTCCGCAGGATTGATAGGAGTAAGAATTGTTGGGAAGTGGTCACTTCCACCAAGGTCATCGTGGACCGACCATTCAAACTCATTCACAAGATTAGAATCTGTAAGTGATAGATCAAGAGCAGAGTATGCTCCAGTGGCAGGATGGAGATAAGTGTTTGATCTATCGTTGAAGATGGATAGATTATTATTTGAGAGAAAATCTTCAGGAACTCTCCCCTTGTTGTTTGTATCGGAAGTCCCCCATAGGCGGTTGTGGCCGTTCAAGTCGCCCATGATTATGCAGGGCTTTGGGAGTTGATCATACAAATTCTGAAGATCTGCTAGGCGGATAGTTGAGGAAGGAGCAAGATAGAGTGAACATAGTGTAAATCCTATGTTCAACGTCATGCCGACAACAACAGATTGTAGATTAGTGTTAAGAGGAACAGGGCTATGCATGATGTCCTGCCTCACCAGCATAGAAGTGCCCCCTGTAGCTTTAACACCGGGAGGAGAAAAGGAGTAGTAGGAACTGTACCAACGGATGTTAAATTTAACATGTATCTTTACGACACAATTAATCAATCAGGAGTTGTTTGTACGACTAGACAGTTTCCTGTCATCCCCGAAACCTGCCAGGGAAATCGGGTGTGATTAGCACTAATTAGTCTCGGCACAGCGAGCGGGCAATCAGCGAGGGCTTCCA